AAAAAAAAAGAAACATATTCCCAAGGAATGATCAGTCCAACTGAGTTGAGGCCTCCTTTTTCTGCCCTAGGGAGAAGCGAAGATGCTGAAAGATGGGAAGGTCTTCAGAGTAGTCCAGGAGAACTGCTGGGACCCAGATGTGCGGATTAGAGAAATGGACCAAACAGGTACTTTTGGTCAAAAATGCTGCTAACCATGTTTGCATCTGATATAAAGACAATACCAGTGCTTAAAGTACCACTTCATACCCTGGCAGCTTCTGACTCCTTGCTCCACCAGACTAGGTTGTCTCTGCTTTGCTGGGGAAGGGATGGGACCTTGCATTACAACGGTTTTATGGAATAAGTGTAATTTTTTAAAAAAATAGGGTAGACTCTATTTTAAAATATAATCTTGCAACATCGAAGAGATATAAGTAATATTTTACTATTTAAAAAAAAATAAGTTCAAGCGAGCGCTGGTGGCCTAGTGGCAAGAAGCTGCATTGCAATCCCAGAGGTGCACAGTTCAAATCTGCCAGATGCTCTGCTGAAGAAGGAGGAACAATCTCCTCCTGTACCAGTTTGATCCGATTTGATGGTATACAAACACACACACACACACACTTAAAAAAAATAAGTTCAAATATAGTTGTCACTGAGTTAATTCTAACTCACAGCAACCTTCTGTACAACAATGTGACATATTCCTGGGTGCGGTGTCATTCCTGTGATTGACTGCATGATTGATCCCATGGTTGCAGCCATTGTGGTGTTCCATCTCATCCCCTTGATAATCCTCTACTTCACCAAATACAGTTTCCTCCTCTAGAAATGTATTCCGCTCGTGATGTGCGCACAAGAGTCAAGATAGTGTTCTTGTTGTTATGTTGATAGTGGTGGTGGTGTTGGTGTTGTTATGCACCATCAGATCAGAACTGATTCATAGCTAACCCTCCAGGTAGTTTAGAGAGGCTGTAATTCAGATGGGCAGCAATAGTCCATCTTTCTCCTTTAGAGTAGCTGGTTCATTCAAATTGAGTGCCTTTGGGTTGACAGTTCAATTCTTTAATTCTAGCCCACCAGAGCTCCCTTAGACTTAGCATCCAATTAGTTTCTAAAGCTTGTTTTGCTGCATAATACATAGAAAATCCCCACTCTCATGTAAGAAATAGGTTGATAAGGAATAGTTTGTGGAACTGATGGAAACTGTATGTAGTTAGTTGAATTAGTTATTATTATATGCCATTGAGTCAGAACCAACTTATAGCTAACTCTCCAGTCGCTTTTTCAAATAACATAGGAGGAGATCGCCCATCTTTTTCCCTTAGATCACCTGTTGATGCTGCTAACAAAAAGATCAGTGGTTCCAGCAGTTACCCCACAGAAAAAAGATGCGGCCATCAGTCCTAAAGCTAAGGAAGATTCAAGCCCTGGAAACTCCTGTGGGCCAGTTGTACTTTGCCCTGTAGAGGTGCTACGAGTCAGAGCACAGCTGGTTGGCTTAACCTTGATGGGATCCCACTGCCAGGCCTTTCCTCCTATGAAGTCACTGGTGCTCGACTACCAACCAAAGCTCAGTGGTTTGAACCTACCAGTGACTCCCCAGAGCTCCCAAATTAATCTATAGAGTAGAAAAATGAAAGAGAGCAGGGTAAGTAAAGGTATATGTGAAATGTAAATATTATACAAATTAAAGGTGTTCATACATTTTTTTTACTAACCAATTAACAGAAATGGATTTTGTGACAATGCTTAACAATGTTCTCTCATCAGAAACTGTCATTGCTATACCTCACAAAACAAAGATGTATACCTCACAAAATAAGGATTTACACTTTCATTAAATGAAGACCTTCAATGTGTTTGGTTTACACAATGAACAAGAACACTCATCAGGGCTTATGTTCGATTTAAGAGAGGCACAGAATAAATTAACACAATAATGACAGATTGTAAGAAGGATTAGGAAAAAAGGGATAAGGCCACATAGGGCAAGTGAGTAGCATCACGGAAGTCTTTTCTGAGGAGGTGGCATTTAAACCGAGACCTGAGGGTGAGAAGGAGCTCACCTGTGTAGAGCAAAAGACAGACCTTCCAGGCAGGTGAAGAGCAGAGAAAGGGTCCAGGGGCAGCAAAAAGCTTCACAGAACGGCAGGAGACCATGGGAAGGTCTGTACCAGGCCTCCTAGACCACATTCAACTCCGAAACAAAGTGTGAATTCCTTGGAGGGTTTGAGCAAGGAAGAGATTTAATCTAGGTTTTACAATCTCGTTCTGCCTGGTGAGTAAGGGAACAAGAATAGGGGTGACAGACCAGCTCAGAGAATTCTGCAGAGTGAGATGCTCATGATCTGGAAGCTGTGGTTTCAAGGCAAGTGAGGAGTTGTGGCTGATGACAAATATTGGGGTAGAGTTAACAGGACTCAGCACTGTGCTGGGTTCTGAACAGAAGGGGAAAGGAGACGTCTTCAGTCTATAGCATCACTTGCCTACACCTCAGCCCCAGGAAGGGTGATCTAGTAGTCTGGTGGTCCATGGGGAATTTCACTGCTCAGCCAGAGGCCACACCTGTCTGGCAGTTTGAATTAACTCCCCAGGAGAAAGATAAGCAGTCTTCTCCCAATCCATTTATAACCTCCGAAACCTACTGGAGGGTCTGCTGGGAGTCAGTTTCAACTGAACAGCAATGAGCCTGAGTTTTGAGTTTTCAGGCCCAGGAATGGAAAATGAGAGATTTTAAACATGCCAGAGTGCTGTCCTAGACACTCCCGGTGATGAGACTCCACCAGGATCCCTGAGTGCGGGGGAATGAGACTGCTGGGTGCATTCTGTCATGCAGAACTGAAGATGAAAAATCCTGCAAAGTTTAGTGGAGAAATATTCTATACGAATGAAATTTCATTCATAAAAAGGAGAGGAGCACTAACTCTTGAAAATTGGGCCAATTATTTTTCATTGAGTGTTCTTTTCCCCCTAATCTTCCCGGTATCTCCAATAGCTGAAGCAAAGGGATGTCAGAGGACTAGAGAAGGCTGAAGGCAGTGAGGGGTCAGAGCGTAATGGGAGGAAAGTGGGGGAGATGTACCAAGCTGGGCTCTCGGGTGACACAGGAGTTCAGGGCCCTCCTTCTCACCAGCTTTGTCTTTGTGTCTATTCAGGAGTGAATGTGCAAGCCCTTTCCACAGTGCCTGTCATGTTCAGCTACTGGGTGAGTGTGAGACCTCAGGCCATCTCCTTGGTGGGTAAAGGTGCATGGCCAGCTCCCTGACAGGCAGATGTCTCCAGCCTTGACATTGAACTCACTGAACCTCCTTCTCTTCCCACCCCTTTAGATACGGTGAGGTCCCTCATTCTTATACTGTAGTCTCCTCACCAGGCCTGTTCCCTTAGCCGCCCTTGCTCTACACCTACACTGTCTAGTACAGTAGCCACATGACACTATCAGGCACTTGAATGAGGCTAGTCCAAAATAATGAATAATCTCCTCCATTTGTGATGTTTCAGCCTCTGAAAACTTGCTGGAGGACCAGGTATGTGTCAGTTCCAACTTGATGGCACATAACAACAACAGTCCAACAAGAATAGGGTTTCTACTTCCCCCGGATGGTGCAGTTCTAGATCAGCCTCACCCTGGTCAGAGCTTACTTACCTGATGGCTTGGTCACATCATGTCCTCCTGAGTAGCTAAGAACTATTAATTATGAGTTGGGAATGAGTTTAAACTACTGTGTTACTTCTCAAAGATATCTCTCAGGAATAGATACAGTCCAAAAAGGGAAAGTTCAAAAAGTGCCTTTCCATAAGAGAATAAATCATCAGTGGTAACAATGTCAATAGTTAAGAGGCTAATCATGCTCTTGGCTCCTAACTGAAGGGTAGGAGTTTCAAGTGTACCCTGAGGTGCTTTGTGAAAGGCTTTGTGATTTACCTCAAAAAATCAGCTACCGACTACCCAATGGGGCTCACTTCTGCTCTTACACCCACCAGGAGGCCGCCAGGAGGCAGTCAATTCAACAACAGGTGGTAGTGGTGTGACCAAACGTTCCAGGCATGATTACATTCGTGCACGGCCAGAGATGAGGTGGGGACAATAGTTTCCTGACACCATTTAAATTGATCACTAAGTCCTGGATTAACCAACTAGATAACCATTCCTTATGGGACTTAAGAAACAACAGAAAAACATACCTCCTTCCAACTATGCTCATATTTTCAGTACTAACTATTCACTCCTTTTTTATTCCTGTCTCTGATTAGACTCAGAACTCTGGCAGCTTCTTGTTGTTGTTGCGTACCATTGAGTTGGAACCAACCCACAGCTGATCCTCTAGCGGATTTTGAAAGGCAAAATCACACAGGAGATTGCCATCTTTTTCCTGTGGAGCAGCTGGTGGATTTGAACTGAATGCCTTCCAACGTGGCACAGTTCCTGGCCACTAGGCCACCAGAGCTTAGTACATAGGAAATCAGTCTTCTAATTCAAAAACCGTGCCTCTCTGGAGGTTCGAATGCCCCTAGGGCTCTTCAGGAGAAAGATGGGCATTTAATAAGCTTGGAAATCCAAAAGGTAGTAAACTATGAATTGATTCTGACTCAATGGCAGTGAATTATTGAATTGAGTGATTAGATATATATTATTTAAAGTAAAAATGACCCTAACGTCTCAATATGCCTGGATGTGTCAGATCAGTTATCCCTACCTCCAAGCATGCCTGACTTGATGGCACATAGCAACAACAGCAGCAACCGTTGAACAACAGAACTGCTGGTGAATTAGGCGGTGAGGTGGAGGTGTCAGTGTAGGAATGTAGAAATTAGGAAAGGAAAGATGGAGGGAGGGATAGGCAATTCAAAAGCAAATTTTATCAGCCATCTCCAAGGGCAGCCCTGAATGTCATCAGCAAGACAAAGAGTGAGAGGTGGGGAGAGGAGAGGTGGGTGAGCCAGTGTGCAGACCTCCTGTGGGGAGGTGCGTGGTGCGGGTCGGCTCTGTGTGTCCTGCCACACAGGATCCTGCCTGCAGCTCGCTGCCTGTCTGTAGTGTTAGGATGTCTGATCCAGAAACCATATTTTCTGACTATGGCCTCAGATTTCCTAATAAATCAACAAGATAGTAGCAATTTGCTTTGCAAAGCTTATTTCTGGGTCTTCTGACACCAAAGCCTGACTCATACTGTGCCTCAGTGTTCTGGGGAACAAAGTCACTGACACCAAAATAAGCCAGGAGATGGCTCAGGACGTTGCCCCTCATATGTCAGAATAGAACAAAGCTGCACCGAGTTTCCAGAGGTTGATTCTTTCGGAAGTTAACCACCAGGCCTCTCTTCTGAGGCACTTGCAGTGGACTCAAACCTCCAACCTTTCTGTTAGTAGTTAAGGATGTCAGGATTTGCATGTCAGATACTGAGTCATTAGTTGCTGTTGTGAGCGGTCAAGTTGGAGCTGATGGGTGGCTGGCCTTCCAGTGGGTTTTCAGAGGCAGGGATCGAACCAACAACAGAGGATTGCCCATCCTTCTTCCTTGGAGCAGCTGGTGGATTCGAACCATGTGCCTTTGGGTTGACAGCACAATTCCTTACCACTAGGCCACAGGACTCCATAATGGTGAGGACTAATTGAGCCCAGGCTTTAAAAAGTGAGTTTTGTACGTTGTGTGGTTTTTTTCCTCTCTCTTATCTGACCAGGCGAAACCTCAAGACACCTTAGACCTGTGCCAGCTTTTAAACAATGACCTAGCAGCCACCGTTGCTCGCTACCCCCGGAGGTTCGTGGGTCTGGGAACGGTGCCCATGCAGGCCCCCCATTTGGCTGTCAAGGAGATGGAGCGCTGTGTGCAGGAGCTGGGCTTCCCGGGGGTTCAGATCGGCTCCCACATCAACGAGTGGGACCTGAATGCGCAGGAGCTCTTCCCCGTCTATGCGGTGAGTACACCGCCCCCATTCGTCCGTGCACTGCTGGTCGCCTGGGCCAGGCCCTGTGTTGGAGCCAGAGAGCTAAGGGTTCAAAGCGCTGCCGGGAAAGATGTAGAGAACTACACACAAGGGCATGATAGGTGTAGGTGGTTGTGATTGTGTACTGTCAAGTCAGAACTGACCCATAGCTGACCCTCCGGCTGTTTTCAGAGGTAGCTAATCGAATGGGAGGAGATTGGCCATCTCTCTCCCATCGAGCAGCTAGTGGCCTCGAACTACACGTTCTTAACTGAGCACTGAGTAAGCCAACCTCTCTCTCATTATTATTTGGTTAGAAGCGACTCATAGTTGACCCTCTACCGGTTTTCAGAGGCTGTAAATCATAGGGAAGGACACTTCCTCTCTTTCTTCACCTAAAAGACCAGTTGATTCGAACCACCCACCTTTGGCTTGGCAGCACAACTCCCTGTCCACTAAGCCACCAGAGCTCCCTGGGCCTTATATGATCAGGACAAACACTTCATGGCAAGCTCGCTGAATCTCTCTTCCTTCTCTGTCCCTTGTTCTCATTTTAATCTTTCATTAGGATGTCACCATAGCATCCACATCTCAGCCATTGTGTGGAAGCACCACGTGAATGACAAAGAAAAAGTATCTGTTTCTGCACTAGGAAACAAAAATTACAGCTTTTCAAAATTATGCAATCATTTTGAAAATATTGTGGGGAAATGCAGAAAAGTATAAAGAAGAAAATAAAATGATGCACAATCCTTCCCCCTCTCCCCAAAGACAAATAACCACTTTTGTAATTTATCAGTTCTTTCATTTGCATGGACTGGTAATGTAACAAAATTGGAATTGTTTTGTGTATATAATCTTGTGTTCTCATTGAGAATTTCTAACCTGAATGAAACTTCTGTTTGTTGCATGATGTTCTGAGATTTTGAAAAGATTCCCTAGGTGACATAAATGGTTTGCCTCTGACTGTTAACAGAAAGGCTAGCAGTTCAAACTTATCTGGCAGTATGGGTGGAAGGAAAGAAAAGGCCATGTGCCTCTGTTAGGACCACAGCTAAGAAATTCCACGGGACATTCGCAGTTTTGTAACATGTGAGGTTATCCTGAATCAGAGTTAACACAATTGTGACTAACCAGGACATTTCAGGATGTGGTTATATTTACCCAGGGAGCTCTGGAGGCATAGTTGGGGAGAGTTGTGTGGCTAATCCAAAGGCGGAACCTCACCAGGTGAGCCTGAGTCAGTCCGACTTCCTAGCAATGAGACCAAGAATATGATTTAACCAATCCTCTCCAGGGACTTCTACTGAGCTAGCGGTGAAGAATTGTGCAGTCAACCCAAAGGCATGCAGTTCAAATCCTCCAGTTGCTTCATAGGATTCCCAGGCAATAAACTGCCTCTGAAAACCCTCTGGAAACTCTGCTATGATTGGGTTCTGACTCCACGGTACATGACAACAACAATAACAACAACTGAGATACCTTCTAAACTATCCATTTTTAAGATGTATGAGGAAAATAGATAACAAAAATAATGTCATCTGGATGTTAATATTTATACTATAATGGTGAGTGTATGACTCTGGTGGCCTAACTAGGTCATGGGGGGCTGCACTGCTAGCCCAAGTGTGGCATCTCTTTGATCCACCAGCAGCTCCACAAGAGAAGGATGGACAATCTCCTCCAGTGTAATTTACAGCCCTTGACACCGCCGGAGGGCCAGATATGAGTCAATTGCAACTTGATGGCAATGAGAGAGAGACGTGAATATTCCTCTCTGATACACCATGGATTGCCAAGAAAACAAATAGGTCTGTCTTGGAGGGAGTGAAACCAAGTTTCTCCTTGGAGGCTAGGATTTTGAAGCTCCATCTCACAAACTTTGAGAACATGGCCAGGAGAGACTGGACCTTAGAAAAGGATAGCATGCTTGGAAGGGTGGAGAGACAGCACAGGAAGGGAAGACCCTGGACTGACACAATATCTGCGGCAATGGGGATTGGTGTGTCAGAGTCAGTGAGACTGGCTCAGGACAGGGCTGACTTCAGGGCTGTTGTACATAGGGTCTCTATGAGTTGCAGGCAACTCGATGGTACAGAATAACAATAACAACTTGCACAGGGCTGCTATGAATTGGAGTAGATTCAATAGCATCCAATAACAACAATGTTTATAACCTTCCGTAAATGAAATAATTTAATAATAAAATAGGTTTGAAAAAATAAGTGGTCCCGTGACTTTACAAAGTATCCAGCTGGAAATGTGTCTAGCCTCACAGATAGTTCCACCAGTCTAACTTTATTGTGCTTTCTTTAACTAAATCGGTTTTCTTTCATATCAATCTGCAAGATGCTTCCTTTTTTATTCAGTTCTAAATTTTTTTAATTTCTTACTTTTCCAGTAATTTATTAGTATTATTCTCTATTCTATTCGTTGAAAATATGCAATCTTAAATCAGATATAACTGTTTGTTCTTTCTTAGAGAGAATTAGAATTCTTATTAAAATGCTTCAACAATTTTCTGACAGATTTTAATTCGCTTAAGAACTCTTCATGCAAAATGTGTTCATCTGACTTGCCTTGGCCCTAGTCGAAGATCCCTAGCCAATCTCTCAAAGAGGTGAATAATCTTTAACTAAATTTACTTCTTTCTCTTAAATTAAATCCTGCAGAGAAAGATGGCCAATCTCCTCACATGTTATTTACAAATTAGGACATCCAATAGAGGGTCACCCATGAGCCGGTTCCAACTTGATGGTAAAGGGATAAGATGACAAGACAAATTACAATTATCTAAGTACTTCTTTCCTGCACGCCACTCCTGGTACTATATTTCTTCCAAAATTTAGTTCTTGAATTGTGCATTTCTAAGACTCTTCTCTTGAGGCAAGTTTGTAAGAAAACACCAACAAATGTTTATAATCAATTTGAGAGTTGCCTTTTCAAGTGTGGTTTGAAGTAATGAATACTTGATGTATAAAATATAGAAGTCTGATTTTTTTACTGGGCAAGAGAAATGTATTCTAAATACTAAATTTA